TGTGCCGATAACGCATCTATATTTTATAACATTATTTTGTAAGTGACCAGGCGCACCAGACACGTAAATATATGAGCGTAGATTGAGATGCACTCGCTTGACATTACGCTGACGCATTTGTTCTATGTTCAAACAAACGCATTTAATTAGATACGCTTCTTTTCTGACGTCCACGAAGGACATTAATTCTGTCGTGCAGTCACGTTCGTTCCTGTCCCGCGGCTAAACAGAGCAATTTGTCTGTCCATTATCGCGCGGCGTAACACAAAGGCGAGAGGCAACTAACTTCGGTATTGGACATCGAACACGCGATGGCACGCGATGTAACCGACGAGTATATACATATATATATTGTATATATATATATGTACATATACATACATCGGCAAAGGGACAGGTGAATGGAGAGAAAACGAAGTAAAAAGATAGCGCGCGGACGGAGAGATAGGCAGAGGCGTAAAAGGAGAAAACAGTAGTAGAGATGGGAACAAAAACGTTGGAGAGGATTATTTTAGGGTGATGCGGTTCGAATCCCAACGTTCGGGCCCGGGGAGCAACGTTGGAACCGGTGGTTTATACCCGCTGTAAAATGCGACGGGAATGTTCCCTTCCTCCCTATGCGAAAATAGTGGTGGTCGTAAGACTACCGCGCGGCTGCGGATGGTGAAGCGCCAGCGATGTGGCGGCGAAGCCGCTACGCGCTACGGCAACGGCATATGCCGTATAACGGCGCCGCTTCACTCGTATATCAACAACGTGATTCCCATGCATACTGCTCACAATCTCGTCGCCCGTGGGGAGGGTTCGGGGGATGCATATGCATACACGCGTGACCCCGGGTCCTCCGCGTGCATATGTACCCCCCGGTTGTTTCTCCCGGGGGACACGTGTGTGTCTCCGCTTTCCGCCCGGACGCACGTGTGCGCCCTGCTCCTGATGCCCGCCTCGCGTTTGTCACGCTCCTAAATTCATGTTTCGAGGTCGCGCTACGTCGCGCACGTGTCACTCGAGGGGGTTGATAGGAAAAGACAGTTTCCGCCGTTTTCACCGTATCCAGTGCACTGTGTAGCCGTTCGCTATATACAACCAAAATGTCTCGCTACGCTCACTGGGCTCGAGCCGTGAACAGGTTGCATTGATTTAATGAACTGCATTAAGATAATTAAGATATCAAACGTATCTTTAAACACATCTAATTGACACTTGATTTACTAAGGAAATATCATACTTGAGAAATCTTTCTTAATTAGAAATTAGTCGACTATCACGGTCTTTGAAGATTTGCAAAGAAATAATTTTCAAAGGTATCACCAATTAATTAATTGAGCCTTTATTAACGATTCATGAATTGTGCTTCATTGAAATTCATTAAATTATTTCTTCAATCGGCGCGCAATATAACTATAATAAAATGTATAATACAAATTGAACGAGAAACTTAAATTACATATAATTTCGAATGGCGATATTGCTTACTCGTTCCTCGCGGCGTCTTAGATCGCGTTAACGTTTCAATGATTTCTGATAACGTGCACCCGGAACGACGTATGCGGGCAAGATATATTCGCGAGAAGGAAGGTAAAAGTTAGACGCGTAAACTTGAGATTGGTTGCTTGCCGCGGTCTCCCTATAGGAAATCCTGATACATCGCAAGTTTCACGTCAAACTTTCCGAGGAACGCTACTTGGCTCCGCTCGCGCGAGGTATCCTTTAGTTTTTCCGGTTTCTTTCGCACGCTACACCACGTATTATCTTGCGTTTCTTTCGCGCGTTACGTGTATACCACGTTTTCCTCGACCGTGCAGGTAATTTTGTCGAGCATGTCGTATGGCTCTTCGTAAACCACGTACCAACGATGAGTTTCGTGTTCAAAGTGCTTGTTTGTAATTGCACGCGGCCGTTTGCGGGCGCACAAGGGACGCACGCTCGGCCCGCTCGGGACGTGAACGGTGAAATACAAAGGACACCCCGTAAAACGTAGCGTTAATCTCATTGTTTCATCGTATCATCGCTGTGTTATAAATTACCTCGAGTCAATTATCGCGATAATCTTTTGATGAAAGAGAGTTTAAGCCGTAAGAAACTACTTTGAGACACATCCATAGATGTATGATATATTAAGCTTCATTAAGGACTTTGAATAATTAATTAATGTACAGGAAATACACGACATATTTGGTATTTACGTTAAACCGGATTTAGATTAAGCGAGTGAGCGCGAACATGGAATCATGATGGCGTTTGCCCTCAGCAAGTAGCTCGTTTATGTCTGTTCGTTTGTTTGATCTAGATCCTTTATGTCCAAACGCTCTTTTTCAGCTTTAATCAAGAAGTGTCTGATACATCGTCGGATTAATTTCAAAAAATTTTGAGAAGAGTATTATTAAATCGTGGTCAGATAAAAAAAAACAATCTAGTATTTTCTCGACACACATTTCATGAGCAAATTCAAATCTGTTCCACGTTAAAATATGAAATGAATTTTATATAATTACATAAGAGCAGAGTAGACGCGAGTAAATGTACAATAAATTTTTTTTATTTGCTCACACAATATATACGTAGGTATATTTACTTTTAATTTCAAAGTTCGTGATTTATATCAATGTTTCAATTTAATACAGTCATATACATATATATACACACACACACTATACATATATATATATATTTTTTGTAGTTAAATTATATTATATATATATATATAGTTATATATAATTTAACTACAAAATTACTATAACTTGACTATTAAATTACAAAACTTTTCCACGTTGGTGGAAATATTGCCTGAAGTTCAAGAGTCCATTTACTGCTAGCGATATTATTATTTCAATTTCGTAACAGCGAAACGTTTCTAGAAAGTTGCGAGTGGAAGAGATTGGCGTTGACTAAAGAATACGTTGAATTTAAATAATCTAAATATCCCTCATAGCGTATTCCTTTGATTCGGTTAAATTTCTTTCGCCTAGAACTCCTGCTGACAGGATACCGCGGGGTTAAAAGCAGCGAGAGATAGTAACGCGGACATTTCTTTTTGCGCTGCGTAAAAACAGTGTGGAGAAAGAGCAAAGAGCATATAGCGACGCCGCGAGTCACACGAAAGAAAGCAACTCTCAAAGGACGCGTGCTACAAGTCACCCTCAAAGGATGTATCCGGAGTATACCGACCGCAAGGGAGACTGGGTAACTCGATAAATAAAAAAGCAAAAATGGATAAATCGGGAACGAGCCGGCCAAACACGGCTCCTGTTTCCGTTATAAAAAAAAAAAAAAAAAAAAAATCTCGGCTAAGCTTTGTCCTTGCTTGTTTCAGTCTGCTCTAACGGGTTGTCTTTTGTTTCCCAACGGGCGTCCCGAGTTTCATAGTGGGAAAAAAGAGGATAGGAAAGCGGTTAGTAATGACGAGGAGCACAATAGCGGATAGTTAACGCACAGATGCGTCGGTTGGGCGGGTGGGTGGCTGGGTGGTCGAACGGGACGCTTGTTGATGCTATAACAACGCGCGAGAGTTGTCCGAGTGATACAGAATGGCGAGCGACATTGGGTCGCGAGCGAAGCGTTGAATTGTAAAGAAGAAAGGAGACGGAGATCAGTTAGTGGCCTTCATTTCGGTGCAAATGGAGTTTTTCCTAAATGGACGTTTCGAAAGTTTGCCGCTGTCAGGCATTGTTTGGCCGGCCGCGGCGGGCGGCAGAAGGACGAGGGAGGAACGGGACGCGAGAGCGAATGCAATGCGGAATCAGTCTGCCAAGGCTTTGATTAGCTGACGTCACGAGGTCAAAGGCTCCCTCGATTGTTCGCCTCGTATTTATAGTTGGTTCGTTCGTTTTTCTCATATGCAATTGTCGCTCTCCTGTTCCTTGTCTTTTCCGTATCTTTCGTCTCTTCGTCTTCTTCTCCTTTTTCGTTCATTCCTCTTCACATTAAAATCGTATTGCTTTTCGTAGAGAAATATAAAAAAGGCGAATTCTGTTTTAATATAACTTTACATGTGTCGCTTATCTTGTGATTTTATTTAAAAATTTGTTGATAATTATAATCTAACAAAAATCGTTCTAAAAATTGTTCCTCCTACTATTCTTTATTGATCCTTTCTTTTTTAACTTCAATTTTGACTTTTTTCACCTTATTTTTCCTTGCATCAAGGCGAACCATTGTTGATTCAGCTCCACCGTACAGTTGATTATAGATAGCCCACGTCACCGTTTGTTTGCGCTGAAACTCTTATCTTGGAAAAAACTTACTTAAGATAAACACAATTAATCGTACACTTATTATCTATATTATATATCATATACTTGAATAAAAATTGTCGAATAAAGACGTGTTATGAAAAGACATGTAATGAGAAAACAATTCTGCCCATAATTTCGTGATATACCAAGATTATTACAAAACTGTTGTTCACTTTCCATTTTATTTACCTACCCTTGGAAATAGATGTTTCGCGTCGAACACGAAAATCCCTGAACGAGATAAATTTCCGAGGCTCAATCGGACGTATATATCGGGTACGTGATCGAAACACGAGCGACGGACACTAAAAGGAAAAGCAACGATTTCCCGTTGCTTTACGACAGTAATTAAGCGCGACTTCGCTTCCGAAACCGCAACTAATGCTTGCCTCCGTTCGATCCCGAAGCTTCATTTGCTTGCGCGTCCAATGACGCGCCGTGCCACTTTGATCTCGAGTTGAGTACTTATACGAAAGTGAGATCGCTCAATCTACCTGCGCGTTAGCGTTTATTTACCATCGAATCATCAATTCACTGGAACGCGTTTCCCGAATAAGTTGAAAAGCACTACCAAATATAGCAGTTTTACTGGGTTCGATTTAAAAAATCACCGTATGTGTGTGTGTGTGTGTGTGTGTGGGTGGTGCGTACGCGCGCGCGCGTGCGTTTCGTAATTTCGTTTACGTTCGCGTTATAATTAAATCCAATCGTTCCTTTATTAAGGTATGCATACGAAATTACCTAGTTTCATAAATTTCTGTGCAGTGCCGAAGGTGGAAATAGTGGATGAGCATGGCGCTACGGCTGGTGACAAGTTCTACAAAGCGGGTAGTACAATAGAGCTGAAGTGTGTAGTCAGCAATATACCGCAACCTACAGGCTATGTCACGTGGCGGCACGGATCTCGTACGTTAAATTACGACACGACTCGTGGTGGCATCAGGTAAGCAATAGTAGACATAATATTTTGGTGTACTGCGACATCTTAAACAATGCAGTCGGCAATATACCAATTTGTATTGAGGAAAGCATCGGCTTTGATCCATATGTGTACATATAGTTCGTCATTACGTTATATATTATCTATTTGACGTGCAGCATAGCAGCAGTGCGCTTAAATATAGCTAGTTAACATTCTGGTAATTCGGTCGAGGACTCGATGGTTTATGCAACCTGCATAGGCGGGCATTCTAATTGCCTCGATAAAGAATGGTACGTTCGGTGAATTTTGAAAGGCTTCTATTAAAGTTCTAGGGCGACGGTCAACAATTGCGGCGGTTTCTGGCCGTGTGTGACCTAATTGGTTATAGATATAACAACATTCATGAATTTCAAATAACGTTTCAAACAGCATTTGATGTTGTCGGTTTCGTAGAACGATTTTTCAATCAGCGGTTCATCAATAAAAACAATATCGATTTTTTTCTCAGACATAGCGCAATATAGTCCCTTTGTCTTATATTATTTGATGCACCCGCTTCGTTTATTTTAGTTATAATCGGTTAGCTCATACTACATATTTGACAGTTTACGCGATAATAATAGTAATACTTGAAAAATCTATGAGACATTAGTACAATAACAATATATCGTGATCGATATTGAGCCTGAAAGAAAAAAAATGCGAGGCACCAGGTGAACTGTTGACAGTTTAATCACCCTTGAAAACGCTTCAATTATAGTGGACCGATGCACATAATGAACGAGCTCATTGCTTGTGCCAAACGCAGGAAACGGGCTTTGAATAAAACATACAAAACTTTTAATTAGAAATCGGGTAACAGGTACGATTAGCAGAAATTAGACCAATCAATTGAAATTAGCTGCGGAATTTCAAAACAATTAAAAAACGTCTGTAAATTTATTTTTTATATATTTTTTAAATAAAATCGGCATGGAATATTTGATGAAATAAAAAATAAATTAATAGTGAATTTATTTTTTCAAGTTATTAATTTAAAATCTAAAATATTTGACCAAAGTTATTTCAATATTTTTTTCCAATGTAAACAATTAAATTGTTACAACAAAAATCAGAATGAACATTTATGCATTAGATCTGCGCCCAGGAAGATATTACATGTACATTTCGTCATTTTTAATAACATTGATCTTTTTATAGAATTTTATATTTTTGAAATTTGCGAAAATATTAGGCAATTCAAGCAGGGCTTTTCTAAAAATTTTGAATACGATTACATCTATATACAAAAATTACGTCTATAAATTACGTAGGCAAATTATAAGATGTTTTTCTCGTCGTTAATAATATTAATTTTTTTATAAATTTTGCGTAAGATTGCATTTATAAATTAAAAGTCTATAATATAAATGTTACGTGGGCGGTTCGTAAGACGCAACAATTTTGTTTTTATTTCGATCGGATCGATATGGCATAATGCGGGACAGCACGTAGAATGCGTATGCATGCGTAATTTATTGAGAGCACATTCTATTACCCTTTGATTGTCCCCGCGAAGCGTTTTGCGAGATTCGTTAAATCGAACACATCAAATGCAGTGCTGCAAATGAACGACATTCGATCACGCCGTCGCGTCGTCTATCGTGATTACTGCGGTTCACTCCAGTGAATCCATATTATAATGGCATGCATCGGCTTGATGAACCATTATGAAAAGACTGTATCATCGTATCTTGCAAGTTGCTCTCGATATAACATTTTCGCAGGTATATTCCGTGGATCATATACGCATGCAGAGAGAAAGAGAGAGAGAGAGAGAGAGAGAGAGAGAGAGAGAGAGAGAGAGAGAGAGAGAGAGAGAGAGAGAGAGAGAGAGAGAGAGAGAGAGAAAGAGAGGAGGAATAATCAAACTTCATGCTATTTATGATCTTATACATAATCTTCGTGATATAACCGTAATTGTTGGCTAAATTTATTATTTTACTATGCCTTCCGACGTAGTAAAGTCTCTGTTTATCATTCCAGGGTATAAGAGTAAATTTATATATCAAACGAAGAAAAATAGAGCGTTGAGCCGTAACAAGGTGTTGGTGTTCATATATTCTATACTTAAGTAAAGAAATAACGAATTGTAATGTACATACTGTACATATACATTTATTTCAACTTTAATAGACTGCGCGTCGCAAATTTGGAATGAGGGAGGTTCGAATCCTGGCTGAGGTAATATTTTTCGCAATAAATTCTTTACAGTTTTTTAAACAATTAAATCGCGTCGATTTAATTCCGGGGAGGGAAGGGTATTAATGTTCCAAGATAGCTGTGTTTCAAGTCCGACAAATTTGCGGCGCGCAGTCTATTAAGTTGGAATAAATGTATATGTACAGTATGTACATTACAATTCGTTACTTCTTTACTTAAGTATAGAATATATGAACACCGACACCTTGTTATGGCTCAACGCTCCATTTTTCTTCGTTTGATTTCTAATCATGTGAGCCTTTATTATTATTAAATTTATATATGTTGGAGAGTTTCTCACCTCATCTAACTTTATAGGCTTGTATTGCTATCTACTTGTTGATGCGAAAACTCTTACTGGCTTAAACGTCTAAAGATGCAAGGTTGATATAGATAGTACATCGGTGAAGTTAGTTAGTAGTATAACGTTATTATGTTCCGCACATAGTGTCACACTTCACCGTCTCTAGTATCTCGTAGCTTGCCGACCTCCTGTCTATTACTCTTCACCTTGGGCGTTCTCTGTAAGTTGGTCAAGTCTGTGAGTGCACGCCTCAAGCATGTATCGCCAACGCGGTATTAAGCTCGGCATAATCAAGCGCGCGATTTTGGTAGTAGTTGGATAATAGCAAAATATCGCGATGATTTCTAATAGCGACACGAAATTAGGGAAATTCTTAAATGCTGCACAGACGAATTGTTGAAATAATACCGATACTGTTGCTGTTAATTTATTATTAGATGCTTGGTTCAATCACATAAGATATCAATGCATTAAACTTGGAATATTTTTAATAGCTGATATTAATTAATATTAATTAATATTGCTTTTTGTAATTTAACGTTACTCACAGCGGTTTCAGTTTCACAATATTCATAAAATGTTTGTAGAAATGTTGGTTAAACTTTATGAAATTATTAGTCTTTTACTATCTTTAGAAATAAGAGATGAACAAATTCAAGATCGAATGTTTCTTTTATTAACATAATGATGGATTTCGAGTTAATACGTTATTAAAGACGATAAATATAAAGTGAAATATATTGCGCGTTGTATGCAATGATATCGTATCATTGGTCGACGTCCCGACACTCCCGACGCCGACGTCCCGACGCTCGTTTTGGCTACGGTGATACGTGCGGGCTGATCCATTACTCGGCAAATCAATTAGGACACGGGCGTCGTAGCGCAGAAAAAAAGCGTGACGAAAACAAAGCATTTAATCGGATTTTGTTTTATCGGTCGTACACGTTGAACCCACGGTGGCAAATATTTCATGGCAACAAGGGGGACACTGGTGCTGCTCCTTTTTTTTATATCAGTGTCCGCGATAAAATAGGCCCCATATTTCAAAATTCTATTCCGGTCACGGCTTTTTGTTATCCTCTTTCCGAAATAACGCTGCCGAAATGTCGATATTATTACTCGGCCTTCTGTGCGATACCTGAAAGATTTAAAGAAAAAGTAGCACAAGTGGACTATACTACCTATATATCTACACCGGACTTGGATATTCCCATTTGTTAACATCTCTAACATCTCGAACGTTGCGGAATTGTTTCCGATGATAAATAACGGTTTCTAATAAATTTAAAATTTTCCTACGGATGATAATATGAAATATTATATGAAATATTATATGAAATAAATTATATAAAAAACGAATAGCAAGAGATAGGAATTACATTTTAATAACCGTTCGTCCTCGAGCATTAAACAAGAGCGAAATGAAGGGGATGCACGTACGGACTATGGACCGATCCTCCGATCAAAAGTTTGTATCTGCCGTAAACTTTTATGAAACTTACGGGATGACTTCTTCATGGCTGCTACCCGGAGTGGATTGTATATGCATCGCGCGAAAACGCTGCGACCGTGCGGGAAAACAGAAGTGACTGTACAGAATATGTTATAAATAAATACTGCGTGTTCACGAAGTTTTTTCCCTGTTAGCGCCCATCGGCGTGATACAACTTTTAAGTTTAAGTTGCCTCTATTTTCCAATATCATATTCCATATTGCGTTCAAATATAAGAAGATTTCCCGTGAAAAATGAATATAAATCCCACGCGCTGAGTTTATCGATTTTCAAGCTAAAAGTAAGGTGATAAAAGAAAGATGCAAATTACTGGACGTCGTAAAAACGTTTCTCCTTGTTATCATATTTTTTTCGTGATATAATTCTTTAAAAAATGATTGGGTTTTATATATATACATACACACTATTTTAATATTTCGTTCGTCGATGTAATACCTACTTAATTTTAAAAGATTCGTGACCGTGACCGGATAAAAAGGTTATAAATTTATCAGATTGTTAGTGACGACGCTTTCGTCCCTAGGTGATAATTGCGGCCGCAAACTTTTCCATAATTTTATAAAACTTTCCCACAAAGTACAATTAAGGGGGAGCAGGCGCTTTCCTAAAGTTAGATCCGTTTCTCATTAAAGGCGGTGTTTATTGGAATTGTTATGCATTCTCCTTTGCATTTTTATAGATAGTCCTTGGCAGTAACATGGGCCCGTTTTTCTTACTCTGCATCGTATTTTCACGTTGGCAGATATCATTCGCAGCGCAATGAGCCGCTAATAAGAATCCGAAATGAATATTCATTACTTGTAATAAAATGTTATGATCCTACTTTTCAGATATAAAAAAAAACGCATTGTTTGCATGCATTTCGTTAATAGAATAGTCAACGTTATAGAAATCCAGGAAAGTACCTATCTCTCGTTGATCTCATTTGCTGCGACCGTCAGTAATAAAATAATTAAGCAC